AATTTAACTCTAATGAAAGAATAAAACTTAAAAACATTAAGTAAACAATTTAACAGGTAAGTGGTAAATATTACAAAGAAAGACTGAACATTGAGAAACAATTATTTAACTCATAATGGACCCAAAGTCAAGTGGGAAGAAGGAAGTAAAATACAAGTATGAACATGACTTTCTCTTACTTAGAACCTGTCAACTCCCTTTTGCCTTTAGGAAAATATCTAAAACTCTTCATGGCCTGATCTTGCTAGTACTTCCCAGTCTTATTTTCTGCCACTGCTCCTGTGCTCATTTGCCATTCCTTAAATAACCATTGTATTTGCTCCTCTATACATTTTCACATTTATCTCACCCCTCTTCCCCTGGTTGTCTGTTGTTTAACCTTCAACTCTGACCAGAGAGGTACCTCCTATAGAGATATCTATCATTAGGCACTCCCTGTGCAGAATCAATCACTTAATGCTCCCAGAGCCCCAACCACCAAACAGAAAACCAAACTCCCTGCCATCGAGTTGGATCCAATCCACAGCGACCCCTCCTTGGGTTTCCAAGGAAGTATCACTATGGAAGTAGATTACCCAACCTTCCTTCCGAGGAGTGGCTGGTGGATTTGAACCGCCTTCTAGTTAGCAGTCAAATGCCTTAGGCACTATGTCACCAGAGCTCCAACCACCTTCATTATTACATGTAACCTTTTTTCAGTGATTGCATGTTTATATAACTTTTTTTCTGAAGTTGGTGAAGCAGCCTTTATATCAAGACCTAGATATTGTCCTGAACACACACAGAGGTACCATTATGGATTCTGTCTCTCAGCAAGCTCACTTCTCAGTCTGAGGGTGTAAAGAATCCGGGTCCTGAGTATTAAGCAAGGCTATGGTACTATGCACAGAGTGTGTAGGGAGCAGGATGGAACCTGTCCTCAGCTCACAGGAAACAGGTGTACTCTCTTAAATCTATTCAGAGCCTTGAAGGATGCACAAGAATCAGTCAGTGCAAGTAAGTGTTATCTTAAGAACATTTGAAGCAAAGTGTATATATAGGAAACAAGTGAAATAGGAATTTGGAGAAGTGAAAAGGGGCTCACCCTGAAGATAAAGTTCATAGGGCTGATGTAAGTAGAACATGCTTGACTTTTTTGAGTCTGCAGTATATAGCAAGTTGCCCAGCAATAGTAATATCTTTGGAAATAATGTGAATAAATGAATGCACAATTTGAAGAAAGGTTGTGAAGCATAAAAGTCACATAATCAGACATTGTAAGAAAAATAAGTTGGTGTGGAAGCTCTTGTAAATTTAAATACAGACTATCAGAATCATATTTATATCAGTAGGGAATAGGATATGGTAGTAGTTCAATAAACATTTGTCAGATGATTATCTCTGTATTCCCGTAAGTAGTCCCTGTGTGATGTTTGTGGTTAAGGCACTCCATTACTAACCTAAAGGTTGGAATTTTGAATCCTTCCAGAGGCATGTGGGAAGAAAGATCCAGCAATCAACTTCCGAAAAGATTGCCATTGAAACCCTATGGAATCCAGTACTACTCTGACACACAAGGAGCTGCCATGAGTCAGAGTGGATTCAATGACAACAGGTTAATAGTCCTGTAGCCTTTGAACTTCATGCATAGCAATGTTTCCACAGCATAGGTTCTTCCAGTGTCCAACTAAGAGTATCACTGTACTATGTTGTTGTTGTTGTTGTTATGTGCCATTGAGTCAGTATAGACTCATAGTGACCCCTACTTGGGTTTCCAAGGCAGTGTCACTACAGAAGTAGGATTGCCCAACCTTCCTTCCAAGGAGTGGCTGGTGGGTTTGAACTGCCAGCCTTCTGGTTAGCAGTCAAGTGC